TCAATGAAAATATTCGACAAGGTATCATTTTGTTGACAGGAGAGAAAAGAATCGGATTATCGCTGGAAGTCACAGGCGAATGTTCAAACTTTTCTAGTAGTCTACTGTATATCGCCCGTCTATGAGTGACTTAGTAAAGCATTTATGAAAATTTCCATGCGCGTGATGTGAAAAAAGAAAAACAGATGACAAGGACAATGGTTGGCCGTCTGACTAGCCGTTGAGCGATGAATTTTTCAGTCAATATAGTTAGTGCTGGAGAATTATCCACTAACAAATGGCCAATCGGTCTGATTCCTAAAAAGACTTTTGCATCCTATTCATTATAGTGTGTGACATAGTGCCATGATTCAGTTGAGCACTAGTAGTAATCGCAGTGCGTTTTTTCTCTTTCGAAGTCTCTGAATGTGTTCAACATTCGGAAAAGTCTTTCAGAAAAGGGTCAGCGAATCCAAAGGATGAGCGTTACTTGTTTCTATTTTTTATGAATATTATTTTTATATGCATGCGTGTGATTTTGCTTTATAATTATGATACGTTATACTAAATTTTGGAATAAAAAGAAGTTGTTTGTTGAAATCAAAGCATCACTTACGGAACATCAGCTTCATCCCATCACCATTCCGGTCCTGGTCCCGTCGAAGGCTAGATCCCGAACCATCACCCCAATTCCGACGGGACTGGGATCGGGATTGTCCCGCCGCACTCTACCAGAGGAAGACAATATATTATTATTCAGTTTAATTGAACACAATCTATGTTGGTGGAATATAGCTATTCATATGTTCAGAGAAAGGGTCCGAAAACTCGGATTTTTTTTGTCCAAAAAGTGTCTTCTAACCGAGATCAATCTTTGAACAAAAAAGTGGATGGATCGTCATGGATTCACCCATGTACAATTCAGTTTATTCAAATAAATTATATCAAGGAAATGTCATACACCTTCACGATCCGTAACTTGCAAACACATATTCATATTGTCGGTGGACTTATATTTCTTATTTGACGTTAAATGAAATATCTACTTGCTTATTCTGTTCATATTATTATTAACTAGTTTTCAAGTAAAGTGGCCAACTAAAAATTCATCAATACTGATTGCATCGGGATGTTTTTGAGGCTTGTAAGTAAATAGCTTTTCATATTCGATGAGAACATTTCTGAAATAACAGAGAATCGCTTGTTCATTAAGATACTGTTGTACTAATTTTTTGCCATTTGTACCAATAAGTTTTGCTCTTTGAGCATCAAGCATTAAGTGTCGCGTTAAATTATGGAATGACTTCTCATTTCCTTTGTCTTTCCAAATTAAAATATTATGATCATGCTTTAATAAATGATACCAATATTCTTCCCATTCCCGAAAGTGCGCAAAAATAACAGGTGACCCACAAAGTAGTAAGTATTTGAGTCTATTAGAATACGACCATCCCTCTTGGTGTAGCAAATACTGATACTCACAGAACTGCTGTATCGTTTTAAAATTCTCGGAATAATAGGGACTGATAGGACTCGATTTCCAGTCCATGAACTCGATATCCAACTTTGAATCGTTTTTCCTTTGGCCAATCTCTGTTAACCATTGGCGGTCTCCAGTTTGAGCTCCACGCCACATTAATTTATTCATCCGATTTTCCCATTTAATTTTTTCGGCTATTTTGGGCACATTTTCAAGAACAGAACGCCACCTACCAATACCGGGCGCCAATGAAGCCCACAAAGTAAAGCAAGGAATAAGTACGATACCATCAGGATGGAGACCCCAAATTGGTGGTTTGTGCGTTTTAGCGAAACCAAAAACCGGTACCTTGTGCTTTTTTTTATTTAAATCCGAAGAATTCAGCATAACCGCGTCTTCTAAAAAAACATCAAAAGGTTATGCATTTGGCAATTATTTATTTAGCTCTTGGTAGAAATTAACGTTATTCGAAGATCGAATAAAAGACTGGTATGTCGAGACCCAGGACAATAGTATCCAAAGAAAGGCTTTTCGTATCTTTGATGACGTCCTGGAATCAGGTGTTGCCATCAACAATATTTATCTCATTATTTTTATTATTGGCAGCAATTTTAGTGTGGAAAGAAGAATCAACCTTTTGATTCGAGATGATTATGGTGCACATTACAGTGAAAAACTTTACTTACGAACATGTATAAACATTTCTAAGTTTTTGATTGATTGGAATGTGTCGATAACTTGTTTTAGCATTGATTTGATGTTTCTTGATCTCAATTGAAAATTAACAGAAGTTTTACGATTTACAATAAATAATTGACTATCAATTATCTGAATATGATGACATCCAGGACATGCGACTTCCATTTCTAAGATATCATTATGCGTAATATTTTGAGGAAAATTTTTGAATTCCATTTTGATTCTTGAATAGAGAGTAAAATTTTCATTGTTATCATATGGTTCATTGAAAAGTTCACATACATCCGTTGACGTGTTCAAATTTCGTAAAGAAACATTTTTCAAAAATGGATTCTCACAGTCTAACTGATAAAAGTTTTTCAGAAAGATTGCTTCGTCATCGTTATAGCATCTGAAAGGATTTTTTGACTTCATTCCTATGTTAGATATTTTAAATCTGCTCTCCAAATCTCTTACTATTCTTTGATCGGCAGACATCGAAATCTTCCATATTTCGAAAATGATCCAAACGGTAAGAAGAGAAGTGGAAAGCTTTTTCAACGCTAGGAGACATCTCAAAATGGAATGTCGTATGGTTCGTGAAACATGTAACATTATATTGCTAAAACAAAAATCTTTGTTCAGCATTTCATTCATTTAGTTGATTATAAGTGGATAGTAATTACTGAGAGATTATTATCTACTTTCGCTAAAGAAGTGAATGAGAAACAAAAGAGAATTTTTAAAACTAACAAGATTCACAATCTTGGCCTAAAAATATAGACTACACTGTTTTTTCTGTTACTTCCACGACTTAAAATAAATGAACCATCCTTAAAGCTACACATAGCGTATCGGAATGCTGAACCATTAAACATACTCATAAGTTCTATGAAAGATGGATATGTTTTCTACCGTATTCGACTTTAAGATAATTTCTCTTTAGATCTTCTATGTAACTCTAACATACGAAGTTTTCAATGTATATACTCCTGAAAATAGATCAACAGTTCGTCAGTTTCTAGAATTTTATGGGTAACTGTATACATATAGCACCCCTCAAAATACATTCCGCTTAATCTTATTCGAAAATACAAATTCTGAAAACTTACTGTTTTAAACTGCAATGAAAACAATGGTTTTTGCACGGTTACCTTGTGGTAAAGTGCTAAAATTCAATATAATAATATTAGCTTTAAGTCGCAAAAATAAATACATTTTAATCATTTTTTTACCTGAGCTATAGAAGATATCAGTATTCGCTTCGCAATGACTGATAAACAAAAATATCTTCCTTCAAAAAAAAAATTTTCCTAGCTTTACTTTTAAGCATGACATATGAGATAGGTAAGCGTAATCACAGTCATTGCATGATATTTATCAGGTACACCATCATTTAATTGATTGCTGACTCATATGTCGGAAAAGACTGTTATTGTCACGAATGCATACACATACTTGGTGGGAAGTGCGTGTATTCAAAATTAAGAAGAGATACTAAAAGAGAAACTCTACTGTCGTCTTCGTTTTGTTTTGACGAACTTTTCACATATGGAAATACATATTTCGTAATACATTGGAATTTCAACTGAAACAACCTAAATAATTACCGATAAAGAAAATCAACTATTGGTAAAGCAATCTGTACATAGAGTGAGGGTGATGAATGCGTAAATACAAATGGGTGAATCCATGCAGATCCATCCACTTTTTGGAAAGGTTTTTTCTCGATTTTTTTTCGCCGCAAAACAGCAGTCCGCATTAGAAAACACTTGAGATGAAAAAAAATAGGTTCTTTCTATACAAAGCCTCGAGTTTTCTAGCAGTTTTTCGGAACACCTATCGTATCTTTTTATATCTTCTTTCCCTCGACTGAAAGGAGAATCATATGAGAAAAAAAGTTTGTCTGTTTGTGCCAGGGTCAAAGGTAAAAAAAAATATTTTTTTCGAAAATGCTCACAACTTCACGAAACATCGTTTGGGAGGGATCCTGAGCTCGAGGTTGGCTGGATGACGGGTGAAGAGGCAGGGACGTGACAGAAATGAAGAAAACATTTCAACCGCGCCTGAGAGGAGGGCTACATAGAACAGTTGATCACGTAAAAGTAAAAACACACTCGGTTGACTGTCGCATACCAAAGGCCAGTGATCCAAAAATACATTCATTCACAAGGTACATACTGGAGAGCAAAATGCTGAGCTTCGATGTATTGAGAGTTTTTGTAGGCCTTTAAGCCTTTTAATTAAGGAGATAGCCTCAAATGTTCGGACGCGGATAATTTTATCTATGAGATGCTGATGGAATGCTAATTAATTTTCGATACTTTTTAGTAGCACACGGGTAGTTATATGATAGATAGGGCCAGCTTTGGAGCGGCGACGAATAATGAGCTGCGCCTGGTGATCTACCCAGTTACAAAAGTATAAACAATCTGACACGTTCGAATGCGAAATCTATACCGAGTGTCATTTGGTCTTACTGAAATTATCTTTCTTTTAGAAAAAGCAGGATGTGTGTAAGGTGCAAATCCATAATAATCATTTGTAGCGAACTTCTGCTTCCTGTGAAGAGTGATTGTCAGTCAGGAATATCGAATAATTAAAAGGAACACAAGTAGTCTTTTGGTTCTTTTGAAGACTGTGAGGCGAATGAAGATCAGTTTCTGGGGACCCCTTCAAAGGTTATACTTCTGTCTTTTTTGCATAAAATGCATATAAGACTATTGTATTTTCAGTCAGTGGTTCAGTCGAGGGTATAGGGAGTCTGCTTCGACGAGCATTACTAGTTTTTAATAAGGAAAATTGTTATAATTCATTTTTAACGTAGAAAAGTCTAGGGGGAAAAGCTTGTAAAAATATGCGCTTTTCTTGATTTTATATTCGTAGAAAGTTTACGCTTATTTTACCGTTCTCTTATATTTTCTCTGTCTAGGTCTGAGAAACTTTTTTTTCTTTTATAAGATTAAAATCTCATTTTTTCTATAACAGATGGGAACATATACATATCATTGATTCGAATGTCTATCATGAATAAATGTCGTATAGGTCAATCTCTTTTTTTTATTGAAATGATAGAAGACTATAATATTGATTCTCAATGTATTTCAAAGAAATCTTTATCAATATGATAGAAAAACTCATTCGCTGCTTTTTTAATTCTTTGTATTATTTTATAGCTCGATGTATTTTTTGAATTTAATATAATATTGGGATGTTTCTTATTTAAAAAATTATCAAGGTACTGTTAGTGTTTGTGTGATTCACATAACGCTAAATTTCGAAAGGTTTACAATTGACTTTGGAGGCTTTTCTTTCAAATAATTCTTTTGATTTTCTCTTGCAATTATGCAGATTATCCTACCGCCTGATGATTCATCATTTAATTATGATGAAAATCGATTTGTGGTAGTTTATTATGTTAGTTGACACATATAAATCGCAAAACTGTGAGTTATTTTCTCTTCTTTACTGAAATCTGAACATGTGAATAAGAAAATAAATAGAATTAAAACATCTGTTTCCTTTGTCTGATATTAACGACAAATACCTTCTGTTATGGAAACTCTCATTTCATTGACGTCAATTAATAAAAGACTTTCAACAAGAGTAAAATGATTTTTATTTGTATCAAAGATTTCGTTTATAATAATTATTGGTAAAAGCAAAAGAAAAGAAAGAGAAAGAATTTATTTTATAGAATAAAGAAAAAAGCATAACAATGTTCATTTGGTAGAGTTATTTATGAAAATCGATAAAATTCTCCACTACAGCCTTTCAAACCGTCTGGTTCTCCGCCTATAACTAATACTATATCATTGGGTAAAGTAAATGCATAATGAACGCTTCTTCGACAATTCATATCAGCCATGTCAGACCATTCGTTGGTCAATGGATTATACAATTGGGTAGTATTCAATATTTTGCCACCACTACTTCCACCAGTTATTAAAACTTTTCCATCATTTAATAATGATGCAGTATGATGGTATCTTTTCGCACCCCGACCACTTATAATTTGCCAACTTTCATCCTTTGGATCGTATATTTCGCTGCTTTTGTCATCGTCGTTCTTTTTTCCACCAGTAACTAAAACCTTTCCATTGTTTAGCATGATTGATGTTGGGCAAGATCTTGTAAAATACATATTCGTAGTGTTTATCCATAGTTTTGTTGATGGATCATATATCTGAGCGGTATTGCTAGCTTTTGCATTATACCCGCCAGTTTTCAAAATTCGATTATCTGGTAATACAGATATGGCATGACAGCCACTTGAACTCACTCTACTAACAACAACTGTCCAAATTTCAGTGGTTGTATCATATAATTCAGTGCTATAACAAATAAACTTCACTTAAGATAAAAGAAAATTTGTGTTTATTTACTGTGTTGAACCACAACCAATAACCAATACTGCTCCATTGAATAATACAGTTGCACTGTGTTCACTTCTTTTTATACTCATATTACCTGTTCTTGTCCATGTTTCAGTTTCTGGATCGTATATTTCTGAACTTGTCAGTCTATGTTTTTCTTTAAGACCACCAGTCACTAATACTCTCCCATCATGCAGTAGTGATGCTGAATGCGAATATCGCTTTTCATTCATTGGACTAGTATACGTCCATGTATCAGTTTTTGGATCATATAATTCTGCACTCATGTATTCAGCTACCTCGGAATAGCCACCAGTAACTAAAATTTTCCCATTATTTAAAAGAGTTGCGGCATGATGATACCGTCGAGTATTCATATCACTTATACGTTCCCATTCTAAAAATCAAACATATATATTCATATTTTGATAAAGTACTCTTGTTAATCTTCATTGACCTTTCCTATTATTTTGTTTTTTTGTAAAAATAATTACTGTTGAAATAACAATGAGTAAAATCACTGCAATAATGATCATACTGATGCATAAAACCTTGCTTTTTCTTGAGAATTTTCTTATAAAACAGCATTGATTTATTTCAGTATTTTCTAGAGTATGAAAATATTTCATTAATTATTTAATATCATTAATAGACATTTACCTGATGAATTGATATCTCTAATCATTATGAAAAATCTAATAAGAATGAATAAATTCTATTTAGTTGCTGTTTTTCTCTCTTTCTCGCTTTGTATGAATAAATACCGTCTGCTATAGAATTATTTCATTGGCGCCAATCAATGAATCCTTTTAGAAAAAAAAGATTAAATACTAAGCTTAAAAATATTTATTTAAAAGTAGGTAACAACATCTGTTGCAGATTTTCTCAAAATAATTTTTCTATACGATTCACTTTAATAGTATTTTGAGGATGAAATTTAACTATAATTGATGTCTGATGCTCTTAACGGTGTGGGTAAGATGAATTACCACAAAGCTAGAAGTTTTTCACTATATCCACCATTTCGAATCGTAAACAATGGTACATCAGCTGACATCATTGATGAAATGATAATCCATGTGAACCAAGTCAAACTATATGCAGTCGATACGGAGTCGTAAAAGGCAAGTAATGAATTATCTTTAATTCAGATTAACTCAATGCCAGTTGAATCGAAATCGAGGGTGATATTAATCGAATTGAAAAACTTACCAAACCAACAATCAATGAAGTATGTAAAAAATTGTTCCTTAGTTCGATTGGTTTTTAGTTTGAACAATGAGATTTATAGTTGGGGGAATATGGGCAATGAGCTTGAACCGGTGCCAGAATTAACTGGCCGACCAATTCTTGCGAAGCCAATCGACGTACAGCCACATTTCCCAATATGGTATAATAGAACACAGACCCAGTACTGGGCCCAGAGCCCGTTGTGTCGAATCGACATTGACAAGGATGGTAGTGAAACAATACAACAACTCAATCAACATCCTTCCTGTCGTTGTCATGCGCCATCACCCATATAAACCCAATGAATTGTGGTCTCTTCAGAATGCAGTTAAATATGCGTATAAATTACATCTTGATAAAACTTATCGATTAAATCATTGTTCAATATTATCGTATCCTGATCAAAGGAAAATGGTCAAGTACGCTGTACACGATGTTTTGGCCGTAACATTTTTATTACGACCAATTATGGAAAATTGGACATTCAAAATGATCGAGACCAGAAACATGAAGGAAGTGTTCGTTGCATTTGAATCAATTGAGCTTGCCCAATTACAGACAACAATAAAAAAGAAGAAAAAGAAGAACATCGATGTAGAGAAATTAACGGGGATATTCGCAGTCGGCGATTCTGATATCGAACCGATATCGTCAGACGAAGAAGTATACTTACATCAAATTATACAACAAGATGATAAAATGGAATTAGAATCAGCAACAACAGCAGCTCTTGGAATTGACGATGAATTAATTGGTGATGTAGAGGAAACGATTGACATAGTTCAACTAGTTCCTGATCCGACAGAACAACAACCACCGCAACGAAGAAAGAAGATTCGATCAACCGAAGCACAGAAGAAGCACAACAAGAAAAGAAAAGAAGCGATCATCTTCGGCTATTCCGGTATCAACATGTTTTGAAAAAATCTTATTATTATCGTTTCAGATTGAAATTGATCCCGAAAATACTTCGTCATTATGGTGTATTGTTTCGACATGTCAAATTTCAAAATGATCAAGATCGGAAACAACTTAGTTGTTTTTTGTGACAATCACTCGTATGTCTTTCTCCTCTTGTCTAATGGCGATATCATGAATGTTCAGATGTATTTTATTATATTCTAGTTATTTTTGTTAATTTTCTTTTCTACTGGTGGTATTTTGAAAACCTTTTTCTCTCTCTCAAGCGGAAGGGTGTTATGATATGAAATATCATGACACCTATTTTCTTGAGTAATTCTTTCTTATTCCTTTTGTCACCGGTTCTATATATGTTGTGAAATAAAAGGAATTAGGCAGTTATGCTTCGATAGTAACATCGAACACACGTCTCTCTCTCTCTTTCCATCATCGAACATAACACCACCTCTATTGGTCTTCCGGAGCGAGGTAAATCGTCGAGTTCTAAATTACCATTCCTGAACCGATTGAACCAATGTTGCACTGTACGTGGAGAGTGCATCCTTGCCCATCGTACTGCATATGTTGCGAGCTGCCTCCGTTGCCTTGTGGCCCAAGCGAAATTCCTGAAGCAAAAGCACTCGCAGCTGTCTACGAGATATTTTGAATTCTAATTCTTCATCAACGCCCATATCTATAATTTTGCTATTCTTCGAAAGAAATGCGTACCCCCTTTATATACTCACAATGTGGAAACTTCTAGAACTTTCTTGACAATTCTAGAAAAATTTAGGAAAAAACACAAAAACTTTCTGGCCAGCCTAATACTTTCTCTTATTCAAAACAAAGATCTCTAGTAAAACTTTAAAAAGACGATAATCAATTCAACACACATTGATCTTTTCAGTCGAGGGTAATGCGAGTCACTGTCGACGAGCGCTATTTATAATAAATCTCTACATCACAAACATTTTATGACAATGCGTTGAACTATACACTGACATATGGACGAGGGTGAGAGTATTTACACTCGATGCGCATAAACACTTTCACAACTTCACTTCTTTAGCTATCAATTATTGTCTGATGCTCTTTTATCCTTTATGACAAAGGTTCAACCTTGGTGCTACAGATACACTTTCCTCTCGAGTATTGAATCAGTTTTTAAACTTTCGTATCGCTCAGTTGATTGATAAAATACGATAGCGCACAATATTTTCGAGTAAGCATCCTGTATCCTTCGCATCGTTACAGTAATAATTTTAACCACACATTGCAAATATTTTCAAAACGAAACTCGAATGTCATAAGAAAAGTTGAGCTCGAGCCCAAAAGAAATAAACCCACAGCCCTCTAGGTTATGTTCTTAATATTTTCGGTGTTGTTGAAAAGTGAGTGAATGTACCGAATCAATCTCTATGTCCGTCCGTTTCCTTGATAACATACGCGAGAAAAGTCATATTGCGATGAAGTTTTCTGCATAATTTCGTCTCAACAATATGTTGATCGAGCCATTCTTGAGTTATGGTAAAAATACTGCAATTTCTGTATGAGTTTCTTAGATTTTTCTCATGCAATTTTTTGTATTACGAAGCATCTTTCAGTTCAATTCGGAAATTTTCGCATTTTGGTTATCAAATTTATTTTATTTCAAGTTATTTTCTTAAACATAAAGATTCTCTTCGACATGAAATGGTGCTCTCTAAAAATAAATCAACTGATTTGGATCTTTTCCTTCCCCTTCACATCAACGCATCATTCAATAATTCTGATAAGTAATTTGCCACATAATTCTGAGCAAAACTCATCAACAACTATTCACTTAGAACGATCCAGTTCATTTAGATTCTGTCTTTTTCGTGTCCACCAACAACAGTAATTCTTCCCACTGCATTGTATGATGATGGTCCGAATCTGAAACATAGATCGATTGCTAAATTTCACGCGTTTGTACTGATAACATCTTCACATGGATAACACGACAATTGTAAAGTGATCTTTAACACCAGCCACTACTTGTTTCCATGTTCCGGTAGATGACAAGGGTACACCGGCAATTGCATTTTGAATTCTGAATTAAAAGTCAAAAATTGATTTTTCTTGTTTATCTTATGTCAGAACAAATGACTCTGACCTCGTTGAATCTCTCCACAAAAGTTTTCCCCTCTAAATTGTTGGTTGATTTAAATGCGTTTTGATATGATACATTGATTGTTTCCA